CCCTTCCCTTCCCTTCCCTTCCCTTCCCTTCCCTTCCCGTTTGGCTTATCTGTCATACAGTGCAATCCTATGCTTGTCTACTCGGTCCTATCGCATAGAGGGGGAACTTACTTCTAGATAACTGCGTATAGTAGAGGGGGCAGCATGTGGCTCATGGGCTGTACCCCCAGCCTGTTATGCAGCCCCTGTGGCCTGTCCCTTAGGTGTCCCCAAAGTGCCACCACCCTGCTACCAAATGCTGGCAATGCTGCACCATGTTTTCAGGACAATTCATGCTCTTCAGGGAACGCAATTTAAAACAAGGCACCTTCCCACAACATGTCTTGTTTTAAAGCAGAGGTGGCTTCTCTTCTGCCACTGCTGTTGCTGCTAAAATTTGGAGGCACAGCAGTTGTGGTTTCATTGTGCATTTGTGCATGATGTCCAGGGAATGAAAACTGTACCCCTGCTCAAAGTATCCCACCCCTGGTGTATGAGACTTCACCTTTAGACAACAAACTTGGATATATGGTCTATCTTTATATTCTATACAGTACCAGCAACCTGTCAGTGCAAATTTAGACTATGTTCTATTGGGAAAATAAGTCCATCTTTCCAAATAAGGATTCAAATGAAGATACGTTAAAGAGCAGTTATTTCCCTGTTAGCTTGCAATTTTATTCATGGTTTTCTTTTTACCCTGTCCTTTGTTTGTTTGTTTGTTTGTTCGGAATGCTTTGCAAAATTGCTTGAGATCCAGTACCTCTTGTTGCAAAACAACTTTTGCACAGCATTATGTGCTGCTCCCCTACAAACAGACCAGCAACCTGCCCATTATCTCCTACATTCAGATTGTCAGTGAAATTGCCTCTGAAGCTGAAATGGAATCAGCCTCAGGGAGACCTGGGAGAGGAAAGTCCAAATGCAATGCAATGGAGTTACCAGGACCAGCGGGTCCCATTTCCATTGCTCTGATTCCATTAGAATCTGATGCTGGATTCTAAACAGCTCTTTGGGAGTCACTACCTGGCACTGAATCAAAATGTGTTTAGGGATGGAAGAAGCTGGGCAACAATCCACAACTCATTTACATTAATCTGATTTCCAATGAAAATGCCCTCCAATAAGCAGGTTATACATGGCAAGAAGTATCAGAAAATGATTTTTCTACATATTACAACAGGCTACCTCTGTACAGTTGCAGGAGAGCTGAATTAGAATCAGATGGCTGGAAGATTATCCAGCCCAGCCTCCTGCACTGTGGCAGGATTTGCTAGGATAAAATAATTCCTTCGAGATGTTTATCCAGCCTCTCCTTAACCCCATGGATGTCAAATTCAAATGGGCTAAAAATTCTCCACTGAGAGATCTCCATCAGTTTTCACTGTAATTAAAAAGGTCAGTTCTCCCTTTGGCCTGGAAAAGCAGCAATTGCTGACACAGGCCCTTTGCCCAGATCCTCAGACCCTTGTTTAGGCTATTAAAACTGAAGAATGGTTTGCATGAAATAGGGGTGTTGGGGACATCCCCAACCCGATGCCCTCCAAATGTAGTGAACTACACCTCCCATCATCCTTGCCAAAACATCTGGAGGGTACTAGATTCGGAGACTGCTCTGAACCAGAAGGTCTGGTAAGCCTCCCTACGCCTTACCTTTGAATAAATGCATCAAACTTTTGGGCAGGCCGCCTTATTTATGGTGGTTTATCAGACTCAAGACAATGTACCTGTATCCTGTCTTCAGGAAGTTCAGTTTTCATGGCTAACATTTCTCTGGCATACACATCCGGATAATGAGCTTCATTGAAAGCCTTTTCCAATTCTTCTAGCTGATGGGCGGTAAACACAGTCCTACAGGAACAAGAAATTAAACCAGTCATTGCACCTTTCCTCCCATATCAGATATGCAGGTGAAGCATTGATTCACCACTGCTATCTGTGGCAAAATGATTGCTGTGTTTCATCGAAAGACCACCTTCTTTTTTCTCCTTCCCTCCCTGTCCCCTTTTCCATTTCAATTATCACAGAATCATAGAAGAGTAGAGTTGGAAGGGGCCAGAGAGTCCAACCCCCTGCTCAGCACAGGACTCCCAGTTAAACCATTCCTCTCAGATGGCCCACAGGCTCCCTAGGTCATTGGGTCCATTGTCATCCTGCTCCAACAGTCAGGAAACTTTTCCTGATAACTAGCTGGAACCTGGCTTCTGGTCGCTCCAGCCTGTTATTCCATGTCCTGCACTCTGAGATAGGGAAGAAATGCTGTCCTCCCTCTTTGTGACAGCCTTTGAAGCCTTTTATGTAAGCCTGTGGACAGGGAATGTCTTCCTTTTAGTGATTATACATAAGCTACACTGGGAGCCTTTTTGGCCAAGAAATGGGATAAAAATGGATAAACAATATAATACAAAACAGCTTTAGATTAAGCACATTTTTAGCAGTTTAACTTTTAAACTTCTTTGTCTTAGGCTTACTTGACTTGAGGACTCAGCAAGTGGAATGCAGCCCACCAGTCCCTGGCTTGCTAGCTTCTCCTCCCACTTGCTTTTGCACGCACACAGACAGGTTTAACAGGAGGCTTAACAACTCCTTGATAGGCCAGAACTAATGGCCACAAAGCATTCAGACCTGGTCTAAGTCCTTAACTGGCAAAGAGACTGGCTCCGTTCCAGGGCGGTGGGAAGAGAGGGTGAGGCGGCAGGATTCCATCCCAGATGTCATTGCTCCGAGCACCAGGCAGGTTGCAAACTGCAACACCCAGAATGCCTCACAAAAAAAATCTGGCCTGGAGGTGAGGGTCTGCTCTTGGTGTTGGAGACTTGATTCGAAAGCCTTGCAAGGGTGCGGTCACTGCACACTGCTGGGCCTCCTTGATTTCTAGGGAAATGGTTACAGAAATGGCCTTCATGAAGAGCAACTATTCTGGAGGCAGAACCTAGAAACTCACTTATGGAAGGAAGCCCTGGGAGTTGCTGGGTTTAACATATGGAAGATCTACACAATAGTTATATTCTGAAGTTAAATAGACTTTTATCTAGTATTTTGACAGGTATTTGTTGCACAAATATGAACTATCATCTTCCATACACTGCAGACCAACCTTCCCTCAACCTGGTGGCCTCCAAATAAGCTGGACTGCAACTCCCATCATTCCCAGACAGCCAGTAGCCATTTTGCTGAGAATGAGGGGCATTGCAGTTCAACAAATTTCGTGTCCACCAGTTGGGGAAGATTGCTGTAGACTAATCATTTCTTAGTTTATGTATAATTATACCCTTGCCAGTTCAATGTAAATAATACAGGGACAGGCAGTTTAACAATGTTGATACTGGCAAGAGGAAGGGCAAAGAAAGCTCTTGGACAAGCATACCACTGCAGCAAGCGCACAGGCCCCACCCTTGTTCATCCCCACCACTGCCTTGTCTTCCCCACGTTTTTCCTACTTCAGGAGTGGGGAACCTCTGGCCCTTCACATGTTGCATGCCAGCTCCTATCAGCCCCAGCCACTGAGGTCAGGGGTCATGTAGGAAGTGCATTCTGTAGGAGACTTCTGAGTGGCACCAAGCAGGCCAGAAGCCTAACTGCTGTGGCAATACGATGGTGGCTGCCATAGTTACCGTTGCTATGGAAGGAAGGCTTCCTGTGGCAAGTCTGAAAATGACTAGGGGGAGAAGCTGCCTCAATTTGGATTAATCCTGGGAGGGGGAGGGGGAGGGGGAGGAGTCCATTATCTTGGTTATTTAAAAGCCCATAAAAATGTTATTGGTCAGAGGTTCTGGTAGACAATTTTAGAAAAGGTCGCTTAGTCAACAGACAGAGACACTTTGGTTGGGTGGAAGAAAGCTGGTGACTAAGGAGAACCCAGCCCAGAGTTGAGGAAGCAGAAACCCTTCTAGTCTGGGAGAACCCTTCAGAGGGATATTGAAAGGCTCAAGGCACTTGCAGAGCGAAATGAGAAGACATGCTGCAGGCCGTAAGAAAAGCTCCACGTGAGCGGTGGTGACTTCTGTCAGCAGGCGCTTCCACAAGAGTTCCTGAGGCAGAACTGCCCTCCGAGCCAGAAGCAGCAGGAAAAGTGGGAAGCCAAGGAAGGCTGCTGTCCAGCATCTGCTTCTGGCGGTGAGCAATTGGCTGAGCTGGAGTTGAGGGGAATCTCAACTGAAAGCAGAGAGATTGGGAGTATTTAGCTGGGGAAATGGGTTAGAATGGTAACCAAGCAGGTCTAAATGCTGTGACCTGTTGGTTGAAGAGTCATGTTTTATTTCCTTTGGTAAAGAGTGTCCTTATTTAACATCTCAGTTTAATCTTATAAGGTTGGTTCTGGGGTGCTTCCAGTGCTGTGCCTACACAACAAAAACCAGGCTACAGATTTTCTTTTAGGTATGGAGGGTTTGCTTGGTGGTGGCCCCTAAAAGCCTAGTTGAGGGAGCATTTCCTTATAGTGATATCTATTTGGGAACTTTAGTAAAACTATGGCAAGGAGTTCATAGACCCAAGCTTGTGGGGTGGGAGGGTGTTTAAAAAGGAAACCTAGGCAGGATAAACACATGCGCTAGTAGCAGCAGAGTAACCAACTTTATATGGTTACGCTTGGTGGCAAAGAAGAGGTAACTTCTGTGGCTTTGTTACATAGCCAAACAATTCTTGGAAGGTCTTGAATTCTCCAGCTCTGCCTGAAGGTTTTCAAATTTTATAATATTGTTTCTGAGTTGCCCCAGGTCTCAGTCACAGAAGTCAAGCACTTGGTAGCTGCCATGTGACTTATCAGGTGATCATTTCTTTTCCCATGTACTCACCAGAGACTTTTTAAAAACATGTATTATATTTTAATTTATGTTGTGAGCCGCCCCAAGGCTTCGGCGAATGGGGCGGCATAGAAATGTTTTAAATAAATAAATAAATAAATAAAACTTCTATTATGCAGAAACAGTAATGAGTATTTAAAAAAAACCAAATAGTGTAATATGCTTTGGACAAGAATAATTCAAGGTATACAGATTCAATATATGTTACAAGCTGAAGCTGAGGGAATTCAGTTATATATACAATGTTGTTCGTATTTTTACCTATGCCGCCGTTTCTTTCTCTTAATCTGACAGTCAGAAGTCTTCAAGTTGTTCTTGTCCCCTGATAAACTGTCTTCATCTGTTTAACATTTGATGGGAGGGTGGGAAAAAGATACTGGTCAAATATTGTTTAGTATAAGCATGCCCCATTCATTTTCATTATTTATCACCACTTTTTGAAAATAAAGTTTTTTTTATTTTTCACAGCAGCTTGCAACATTTAAAAAATCAGATAAAATCACAACAGGACATAATACAGGGTAATCACAAAAAACACTTTGTTGTTATGTGCTGCCACATCATCTCTGACTCATGGCAACCCTATTATTTATTTATTTAGTAAACTTCTATGCTGCCCCATTCGCCGAAGCCTCAGGGCAGCTTACAACAATAAATAAATACATATAATCATATAAAAACAATATAATTGGAAACACCCTGGCCAAAGATATAAAATGAATGAATGCCCTCCAAAATGGCCTGTCCATATTTTCTCCAAAAAAAAAAAAAAAAACGGGAAAGCAGTAATAAAAAGCCATACAGAATAGCCAAGTTTTAAAGACCTATCTAGAAATGGGAAGCATTGGTACAACTAGTCCTGGATCTCGCAGCCTACGGCCCCCAAATAACCACCCAGGAGTTTACAGTGCAAAAATATACATGCTTGTTTTTTTTAAATCGAGGTCCATGAATTGTTTCTTGTTCTAACATATCTGGAATGTAGAAGCAGTTGTAGAGCATAGAATCCTAGTGAAAGCAGAAATATTAGCTCCGTGCTTTACAACTCCAGTAATACACATGGTCTGCCTAAGTGCCCCCATGCCCTCCCCAGTAAGACCACTAAGTCCAAGGACTAAAATCACCCAGCTGTACCACTGATGGGAAACAAGGATGTTTCCTGTTCCCTGGACAAGGAATTCCACATCCATGATAACCCTAATGAGCTAACCATCTTAATGGTTTCCGTATCTTTCATGTGAGTTTGTGTGCATGGGCAACAGGTATCCTGGCTGATGCTACCTACATACCCTACACTGACACCTAACACACCCACCTTGCTGTCAGCCCACGCCATGGAATGAACCAAGAAAGAGGGGGCAGGCGACTACCACCTCAGGGAAAGGGCAGGGCTGGCAAGGGCCCAGAGTTGATTAACTCACTCTCCCTAGCCATTAGAAATATAGGTCAGCTCCAGTGCCAGGCAGAGGGAATGGGTGGGGAGTGCTGGCACAAACATGGGCTTTTCAGCACCAGGAGAGCAGCTAGAACAGATGGGCAGCTTCTGCAAGGCTAAGTACAGCAGAAGCGGAAGGAGGAGAGGCAGGCCAATTTCCCCGTCAATGGGACAACGGAAAGTGAACCTGGTTGGTCCTACAACAAAGAGCCATCTGTGAAACACTGCAAAGGTTACCAACCGATAGCCTTTGTTTTCCGTTTTAGTATGTTGATAAAACATGAAGTCTGTAACAGATAAAGAACTGAATATTGCATAGCACTCTCCTTTGTTCCATGCAGATTTCAGAACACCTCCACTCTCTGACAAGAGGAAAGTTTTTCCACAAAAGTATGCTCACTGTTTTGCAATACTGAAGAACATGGGTCTATCTCCAACCAACCAAGGCAGCAAACCACACAGCCACAGAGGTACTCAGAATTCAGCAGCACTTTACTGCCCTTTCCCCCGAAATATGATTCTGACCCTTCAGCAAGCATCAGTGCTCCCTCTGTGAGACCACTAATTCAAGCAGGCAGGCATTCCATTCCTTCCTTGGATAACTGGAGGTTCCCTTCACACATACACCCAGCCACTTCTCCAGAGGGATAACTCACACCATTGCCATAGTGAACTCCACCTTTAATTCTATTGGCCTTTCCACCCATTGGGTACCCTCATTCATAGTGTGGTATCAGCTGGGGGGGGGGACCTAAATCACCCTTCCCTAACCTAGTACCCTTCAGATGTGCTGAACTACAGTAACAGGAGTTTGAAGTTCCACACACCTAGAAGGCATCAGGTGGTGAGAAGCTGATTTACATGGTGCACTCTGTCCATATTCTGGTGTTCATTTCTCCAGATGTTTGGGACTTCAGCCACCTGCATTCCTGACCATTGGCCATACTGCTTTGGACTCCTGGGAGTTAAAAACCCAAAGCATCTGGAGACCTACCTTAGTTCACCCTCTTTTAGTGCATGATATGAAGACCTGCATGAAAGCATACACAAGGAAATTTCTGCAGAACTTCCAAGGTTCTGATTTAAATATTTTCATCTACCAAAGTCATCTACTCTGGAAAATACAGCATTAGACAGGATACCTCATTCTTGTTCTTCATGCAAGAATGGCCCTGTAGGCAGTATATATGCTAGGTCCATCTCATGGATTCACCCCTCAAACAGTTTGTTTTTCCTGTTGATCCATTTAGGCCAATGTGCCCCATAAGATAAAACCCCAAAGCCATCCCTTGGAAACAAAACATCAGAACTGGTCTTTGGTGAACCCGTGCGATTATTTGCACATCACACACATGGAAAAACTTGCATGAGTTTTCTCTTTCATGCACACACGCAGAGAGTCATCCAAATGGCCCATCGATGCAAAGTACTATGCAGACACCCACATGTCTGAGAGGGGTCAGAGCCTTGGTCCACTCCTCTCAGTACTGCCTACAGTCACTGGCAGCAGCATCCTGAGTTTCATGCAGGAGTCCTTGGCCCTACCTGGCCACGCCAGGGACTGGGGCATCCAGCACGTAGTGCAGAAGCTCTGTCACTGGGCTACAGTCCGTCCACAAGGCAGCTTCAGATATGCTCATGGGTTGCCTGGGGAGCCTGTTCTGCATCTGCATTTCCGTTAGCAGCACAGCACTAGGCAACAGTTAACAGATCCCAGCTCATCTCCCAATCCTCAGAAATACATTCTGGAGACATTCTTTGGAAATGACTCTTTCCAGAAGGCTTTGGCAGGGCACGTCCCTCAGATTCCACGGCAGTGGCACGCCCATGAAACCCGTGCTCGCGTAAAACGAAACGAGCCGGTCCCTGCCTCCCTCTGTCAGGCAGGGCTTCGTCTGAGGCGGGGCGTTGGCCCAGCGCTCCATGCCGGTGCGCCCAGCTCGCAGGGGAGCCCGGGCAGGAGGTCCGACACAGCATATCATGAAGCCCCTGCAGCACAGGGGGAAAGAAAAGTATTCTCCCAAAGGGATACCCTCATTGGCCTGCCACAGCATCCAGTGTGTGCACGTGCGTACATGCGCATGCCCCCCTTTTATATGCATGTGTGAATGGAGTACAGTACTTCGTACATCTAATAAAGTGAGCTCCTGCTCTCCAGTGCTTATGTTAACCTAAACCTGTTCCTGCTAAAGTGCCCCCAGAACGTCTCGGAATGTGCCTCTGGGGGAAACCAGGCATTCCAGATAACCAAGCAGAGCAGCCTCCCCAAGCCGTTGCCCCCCAGATCTGTTGGACGACAACGGCCACGATCCCCAGCCGCCGTCCAACGCACCTGAAGGGCGACGGCTTGGGAGAGGCCGGAGGGCACAGGGCGCCTGCCAGCCGCGGCACATCAGCGTTAAGCCGCCCGTGGAAGAGGCTCGGCGAAGCTCCGCGTTCGGCAGCAGCGCCCGAGCAGAGCCCGGGGCGGGCAGGAGCGGCCCGGCGGGCGGCCCGGGGCCGTGTGCGAACTCCCCGAAGCCCCGGGCGCCGCCGAGCGCTGCTCGACCCGGTCTCCTGGGCGGGCTTCCGGGCCGCCGGCTCTCTCCGGGCCGCGCGCCTCACTCCGGCAGTTCCTCTCCGCTTCCCCGGGGAATGCCGCGCAGCCAGAGGGCGCCCTTACCGGAGATGTTCTCCTTGTGCTTCTCGGCCGCCGGCCCGTACTGGTGGTGGGGGTGGTGGGGGTGGTGAGCGGGGTGGTGCTGCTGGTGCTCCGGCCGGGGCTGCAGGAAGGGGAGGTGCGCCGGCAGCAGGCAGTGCGCCCCCGCCGGCTGCTGCGTGGCGAAGCCGCACAGGAAGCCCAAGCCCAGCGGCAGGGGAGCGCCCGCGCCGAGGGTCCCCGCCGCCCCTGCGCCTGCCACGGCGGCGCCTTCGCAGCCCGAGCCGGTCACCGAGGCGGCCGCCGGCGGCTGCAGCTCCGCCTCCAAGCCCAGCAGGTCGGTGATGGCGAAGCCCTTGGAGCGCAGCGAGCCGCCGGCTGGGCTCCCCAGCCGCGCCGCCGTCTTGCTGTTGCTGCCGGCGCTGGGCGCCAGCACCGTCCCCTTGTCGCCTTTGCCCTCCGAGATCTCCTCGCGGCCCGTCATGCTGCCGCGGCTGCCCCTCGGCCGACGGATGGGGAGCGGGAGAGGCTCGCCGCAGCCTTTTATCCCGCGCCCCGACCCGGCCGGCGCCAATCAGCTCCGGGAAACGGGGGAGGCGGGGGAGCGCCGCCATTGCGCGCTGCGGGGGAGACAACTTGTTCCCAATCCCGGGGAAGAAATTCCCACCAGTTTCCCCGCGCTGCGAGCCCCATTTCTCTGCCCGGCCTTCCCACGCCGCGCCCCCTGACGGCCGGTCTGGGCATTGCTGTGACCCCTTTCCGCGCCTGGGAGACCCCTGCCCGGCTACCCATCCTCTCCCCCATCTTCATCTTTGACATCTTTCTCCTTTTTCGCCTGGCCAGACCAAAACATGCTGGCATTTTCGGTACTTCTAGTACCTGTGGCCCCTCCCACCACAGGGCTTCTCTGGACCTGAACTGGACTCCCGGGTTGAAAGAGCTTCTTTCGGGGTGCAAATCTTTGCCTTGGGCATCCGTCAAAGTGCTTGGCAGAGAAGCACAGGATCATTTTGGTCACCCATGAAACCCCAGTGTGAGATGGAGGTCAAGCCTGAGGGCGGCTGCCTGTTTCTTATTTGCAATCAATCCTATAGCACCTGTGGACAGAAAAAAACATAGAAACATAGAAACAGAGCGGGTCAGAAGGGACCTTCCAGGCCATCTAGTCTGACCCTCAGCTCTAGCCGGCTCCACTCATGACATGCCTACCATGTCCAAAAAAGACTGGCAGCTCCTGGTTGCTAGCTGGGGCATACTGGGAGTTGTGGGCTTTTTTTCTGGTTAAGCTTGCACAGCATTGCACTGTAGATCTATGTTTATTGTTCTTCTATGTACAGTAAATTGCAATAGCCAGCGCTCTTGGGAGGGGAAGGGAACTCAGTGCAGAATACCTCCTTTCCAGGTCCCCAGGCAGGGATGGGAAAGAACTCTGCCTGAAACTCCATCAAGTCACAGCAGCCATCTGTGTCAACAACATCAGGCTAGATGGAAAGAATGGTATGAAGCCAACTTCTGATATTCCTCTCTGGGCCATTTATTGTTCAAGTCTGATTTGCCCATGTACTGCAAAATGAGCTTTAGACTTTCATAGAGTCACAAAACAGTAGAGCTGGAAGGGGCCAACTCCTGCTCAGTGCAGGACACCAACTTAAACCTCCCCTCTCAGATGGCTGTCCAGTTGCATCTTTCCCATGTCAGGCACCTCCAGATGCATAACCTTGTCCTTTTCTGCCCAGAGCGTTCTTTTTGCAGATGTTGCTCTAATGCATGATGCCCACAGGGCACCTTTAAGCATAAGGAACTGCAAGGTTGTAACCCAAAAGAAGCTTTACAGCTAGGATGTTGAAGCTCTCACAACCAGAGGATCAAATTCAATTTCAGAGAAGCTCTGTGGTGGGAGGGGTCAATAGGACAAATCCACCAAATATACCCCTCAAAAAATCTAGCACATTTTGGTTTAAAGCTTTTACTGCCTTGGGAGAGGCATTTCAACTTTGGGCGGGGGGATTGTAAAGCCCAGGAAACCACACAATGATCAGCATTTGGGCAAAAGTGGAAGAGGACATGGTTTTGGGGAACGCCACAGGGGAAGGGAAGCTAGAATCTGGCCTGCAAGAAGTCTCAGCTTTGCCCCGCTGATCATCACTCCTGCTTTTAGCTGTGCCAACTGATCCACCCACACTGCCAAGAGACTGCCTCCTAAAAGATGCCCTATCGCAACTTTTTCTAACCTGGATCCTTCCTGGTATTTTGACCTCCAACTCCCCTTAAGCTAGAACAGTGGCTGCATTGGCTGGAGCTGCTGGGAGTTGGAGTCTAGAGCATCTGGAGATGACGCTGCAACAACATCACTGCTCAAGACTTTGCTTCAGGACACAACAGAGCCTCAAATATGCTGTCCCCATGCGAATAAAGGAATCCAGAAATTGGGGTTGGGAAAAGGTAATTTACATTTCTCCTTTCCTGCTCATAGGTAAAGTGTGGGTTCCTCCTTCACACCAATTACTGAGTGTGGAACTAAAAAGTGGCAATTATTCCAGATTAATTAAAAGACTAAGGTTGCAATCCTATACCTGTCACAGGGTGCCTTACACCAAGGACCATAGAGGCTCCAGCAAACAGAGCTGGTTCAGTCAAGAGCCACCCGTTAAAGGCAGCTGGTGCACCTGGAATCGCATTTCCAAATGCTCTGCTCGCTCTTCATTGTGGAGGGAAGCTTCAAAACAGCCATCCAAAGTGGTGGTTTCAGAAAAAGTGCTTAGATCAGGAATAGACAAGCTGGTGCTCTGCAGATATTGTTGGATTACGTTTCCCATCACCCTTGACCATTGCCCATGCTGACAGATGGACCTTGTAGTCCAGCAGCAAAATTCATACAAAACGGGCACAGAAAGGCAACACTCTCCCTGCCCAGGCCTGGGAAGGATGAACTGCCTGGGAGTTTGAAGCCAGCAGGTCATGCAGTGGTCTGGCACAGCCTGCCAGATTCTTCAGGACCCTGGACAGGTCTGACACAGGAGCTGACTGGTTCTTCCCAAAAGCACAGGATGCCAATTAAGCTCTGTGTCGTTCCCAGGCCTAATGACTTCTCCAGGCGATCTGCACTGTGTAGCCCCCTGCTCTAGAGCCTTGCACGCCAGTGTCTCTGTCAGTGGTGGCACAGATCCTGGGCTCACATGGGGGCTTTTTGATTAGCGGGGAAGGGGGGTGTCATCTGCTGTCCCCCCCCCCCCCCCAGCCTTCCCTGTTTCCTCTGAGATTTGCAGCAATCTCCACAGGAGCTGGGGAGGTGGAAAAAGACTTTGAGAGCCTTTCCATGAACACATAGATAAGCTCCACATACATTCTGGAGGCATAACTGTGGAGACTGTCATAATACACAGAAACAGAGCGAGTCAGAAGGGGTCTCCCGGGCCATCTAATCTGACCCCCGGCTCCAGCCCGCTCTTAATGACACGCCTAACACGTGCATGTCCAGCCTGTCCTTCAACACCCTCACTGATGGGGCTTCAACCACCTCCCATGGAAGCCCATTCCATACCCTCAGGGTCCTAACTGTCAGGAAGTACTTCCTGGCATCCACACTAAATCTTGGTTCCCTGAGCTTTGCTCCATCAGAACACGTCCTGCTCTCCACTGCAGGGGGAAAAGGGTCATGACCCACCTCTATGTGGGACCCCTCACACACCTGTACATATGTTGCTAAGAGGTCCCCTCTGGGTCTTCCTCTCAAGGCTGAACAGATCCGGCGCCCTCAGTGCCTCCACTTCAAAATTTGCCATGACACCATTGCATCTTTCCACTGTCTCTTTCTGGACACACTGCCTTTGGTGGTGGGCAGCTTTGGACCAAGAGGTCCTTGCGAGAGGGCCAGGGTGCTGCTTCCTCGGTGCACTCAGGTTCAGAGGCTGCAGCCCTTGGGGAATTTTAGCTCACTGCATCCCTGGGCTTGCACCATACTGGCTGCATCGACCGGCCATGGCTGTTTTTGTTTGGAGAGCCCTTTTTGCAAAGCCTCTCCTGATACCCAGCCTCTGAGATACTCTACCCTGCCCAGAAATAAAACATATTCCAACTTTTTTATTCATCTTCTCATTTCCTGATGCATAACACCTGTTGTCATAATAGTTTGATGACCAACTGACTTTTTAAATATTTATACTTAAATGCTGTATGCATTTTTATTTTGTATACCACTTTGCACCCAACAGGTGGAATAGAAATGATGATGATAGGAATTGGACCAGCATAGTCCCACATTAGGACTGCTGGCATTCTTTGCAAAAGCCAGTTGCTCAGAGGAGATGTTTAGTCTTGCTAATTACCAGTTGTAACTCCTGTTCTTGCTGATGGCTAGTGCCCCCCTTTCATTTTCGTGTGTTATTTGTTGCATTTCCACACACCGCAGCTGAAGCTCTCTTGGGGGTTGCCCCAGGTATTATGTCCCTCCTCACATTCATGAACTCCCCTTGGTAAAAGCACCCTTTTTGATCCTCTTTTCTGATCCACCTAAACTTCCATTTCCTGTTGTGTTTTGGGTTTAAAAAGTAGCTAAATGGTGGAACAACAAACTTAAGCCAACATCACTCCAGAAATAGTATCAGAGATCCTCTGGGAAATGCTGCTCTAGGTTTGTCTGTGAGCACACACAGTGGCACACCCATCAAAGCATTTTTTGTAAGCCATCCAGAGACTTTGATATTGGACAGCATAGAAAAACTTTAAATAATGAATGAATGAATGAAAGAAAGAAAGAATAATCAAATGTGTCCTTTCTAAACACATTTTCCCAGAAGGAAATTGACCATTAACTTTCAAGGTAGGCATGCTTAAGAATGCAGTTTTATTTTGATTGTGAGTTCTGTGATTTAGCTACAATTTCCCCAAAGGTCCAGTACGGGGGGGGGGGGGGTAGGAGCAGCAAGTTATCTGTTGGGTAGTTGCCCTCCTTCGCCTTCTCCTCTAGGGCTGTCTGTCCTGTTGAGCAAAGTTGGTTTTGTGTCTCCCCACACCTGGAAGTCCAATGTGAAACCTACCTTATTAGCCCTCACCTGGTTTCTGTTCTGCATTAACAGTGTTCACAAATGAAACATGTCAGACTAAAGGCTGTCTGACTGAAATGAACAGAAAATGCAAACTCAGCAGGCTTTGGGGTTTGGGCTGTTTTGTTGCTGCTGCTACTGCTTTGGCTATCTAATGAAACCCTTTCAGGAGTGTGTTGTCTTTTGGACACAATGGCAAGTCAAGCTGTGATTTCAGGTCAGCTTTATTTTTAGCATGAGTGGAGATCATCAATGAAGCTAAAATCTAGTGGATCTCAGGTTCTCTTCTTGCTCAAATGAAACTGGAGGGGGGCAGTCTTGTGTTTAACCTCCAGCCACGTGTTAACAAACATAATGCACAGAAAGGGGGGGAGTTCAGTTGTTTGTTCCGATTTCATTTCTTGCACCTGGATTGCATTTCTCTGCTTCATCTGTTTATGCA